AACATGCAGCAACTCGTTTCTGATTTGCAGCAACTCTCCTAACATGCAGCAACTCGTTTCTGATTTGCAGCAACTCTCCTAACATGCAGCAACTCTCCTAACATGCAGCAACTCTCCTAACATGCAGCAACTCTCCTAACATGCAGCAATTCGTTTAATATGCAGCAACTCGTTTATTGTTAATATAAATTTATACTCGTTAATACTCGTCTTTAATACTTGCTGCTTGTCCCCATTTTATGGGCCACCGTAAACTTACATCTCAGCTCACCTTTTAGGTCTCTGGTTTGATTCCTGGAATCGGGTCAGACTTAGAGTTTAGTTTGTTAGGTCTCTCCCTTGATTTGAAGGTTTTTCTCACTTACTTCTCCAGTTTTCTTTCCTCCGCAAAACCTAGCAGCTAAGCATGCCCTGACTTTGATCTACCCAATCTCGTATCATTGCATGCTCACCGTTCATTTCACAAAGGCACGACTACCTTTCAAGATGGCGCAGGGAACTGTGAAGGGGACTATTCCCAAAAGTTATAAATTCAAATAAGCTCAAATAAGGAATAAAGCGCTCCCAGTATTCATGCTGGCAATTTTATTTCAAATCTAAACTCGTTTACAACTCTATCACTCGTGAGCAAAATAATTGCTAGTGAATAAAATAGATATTATTTACTATAAGTAGCTTTAACTAGCTAACTCAATTTTGTACGTGAGAGTAATTTCAGTTACTGGTTTTCAATCATTCCCAAGAGAATTATAAAATAACAAAAGACACGGCGGTCATGTTGGATGATATAACGAATAACGAAAGAGACTTATGACGAATTTTTTGTTAAATTTATCCAACATGGTGGCTGTGAAAACCATCAATATTCCAGTTTCGAGTTTTCTATCGTTCAGTGTTTGCCTCAAATGTGCGTAACATAATCAGAACTAAGAGAAAAAACCCGTAGAATTCTTAAGCAATTGTGTTGTTCATTTGTATATATTAATTTAGCCCGTTTTGAGGATTTTTTCCCCCACCACTAAGTATTTTTTTTTACCCCACCAGTATTTCTTTGTTCTTTATTAAATGTTTGATGAATCCCCATACATTTCCTTACAGGACACCACAGAAACCAAGCTTGGGCTACCTGTGATATTCCTTACTTTTATTAACACCGGATGTTACCAATTCTTCGATTGAACGTTACGTCGTCGCGTGTTCCTCATTAGTGCAGTTTTCGTATGACTGAAAAGTTCACGGCATGAACACGTTCGTGACACAGCAAGGGATACGCCAGACCAATCACACTGCACGAGAATTTACTCTCCATCCAATCAAATACCTGGAACACGGCATAACACGGCGCGGGCACGGTCACGTCAAGGTCACGGCAATGCCATACCAATCACATTGCGCGTGAAAAAAATCAGCCAATTAAAATTCTAGAAAGCATCACGGTCACGGCACGTCACGTCACGCCTACGGCACTGAGCTTTTCACAGTCATACGAAAACTGCTCTGGAAACCAGTGTCAACGGCACCACGATAACCGCCATGTTTTTGTCTTTTTATTCTCTTGGGAATGGTTACGACCCACCAATAGTGCTATATATTTCAAAAAATATATTTCGATCTATCGAGGCAAACTCTAGACAATAGAGAACATAGGTCTCAGGGTATAAAGTTGCTATCTTTTTAGTTGCCTGACTTGAGCTTTTAACTGGAAAATCAAAAAGCGAGAGAAAAACCGTCCCAAATTTTCGGGACTCATTCCAACCTTATTTCAGAGTACTGACCAAAAGAATAAATTTCTGGAATAAGATTACGATTTCTTTCCTATTGGAAGCATGGAGTTGGCTAGTCTTCTACGGAGTTACTATTAGTGTCGTCACTCAACGCTTACTCCCCTAATCATAAGTGAGCGTTGCGTGACGACACTAATAGCGGCTGCGTGGGAGACTAGAAGTTGGCATTCTTTTTTTGTTTGTATGTTTTTCAGTTCTCCTCATACGCCGAGGTTTTAAATTATATATTTGGTCGTTATTGCATAATTCCCCAAAAAATATTTAAGCTCTATGCATATTTAAGGAGTGGGAGTGATGGATTTAAGCAATATGGATTAGTGGGATGGATGGGTGGTTAGGAGGTCTCACTCAAATCTGCAAAGAGTGTGGACTAATTTGATTCATAGTAACCTTGAAAGGTAGAGTACAAACACTAAATGTGTGCAATAGTTATCACTATTTAGCAGTACGTAAATAGCACTAATTAAACAAAAGAAAACAGTATAAAATAACCCTATTTAATTGATATTTATGTTGCACACTATTAGTGTTTGTACTCTAGAGTGAAGTCATTTTAATGACATTTTAATTTTAAAAACCCGTGCAATAGATATTAGACTAATACACTTTAGTAGACCCTAATTCCATTGTCTTCTTTTGTGTCTATTGGACTATTACACGTTGACTAGTATTTTTCATTTCACGGGTTAAATGCCTTCGCTCTAATAGTGCCTGTGCATCGAAGCAAAAGCAATGATAGAGACGTGAATAATTGTCCAAGGAACTCTATCATTGCATGGTTACTACCATTCTCGCTTCAATGCACAACAACGGTTACCTTTTGAGCTGGCATAGGGAACTGTGAAGAGGATTAATCATTAGGCATCTCTAAAACACAGAACCGGCGGTACCAAAAGAACCAAGTGATGCCGCAATTCATTATTTGAGTATTGAGCTAATAAAAAAATTCTAGTTATATATAAATAAAATGTCCTAAATATCAAAAAAATTTGAATTGCCGTTTAATTTGTTTTGCTCAATGCTCCTTTTCCATATGTATAAAAGTTAAAACTCACTATATAGACCAAATTCAAAACTCGCACCGATATGAGGCTTAAGTTGTGAACAAAGGAATCTGGCGTGATTCCACAGGGAGCCCGGCTTGGTGATGCTAAATCGGTAAAACGATCACGTTTCATATGTTGATGACATTACATAATAATCGTAACTCAATACACCCATATACAAATGGTCCTAACATAATAGAACACGAGTGTTTGTAACGCGTAACTTAATACCGTAATAAATTTAGGGCTCCCTGTGGTGATTCGTGACTTTTGAATCACGCCAGATTAATTTGAGTCACGCCAGATTAATTTGCGTCACGCCAGATTAATTTGAGTCACGCCAGATCCCTTTGATCACAACTTTAAAAGCCTCACATCGGTGTGAGTTTTGAATTTGGTCTATGGTATTTCAGAAGGGATGGAAAAAATAAAAGCTTTTATACATATTTAGTTTTAAAACACTCATTAATAATTCATAAGCTTATGGTCCAATTGCAGCCACCATACACGTCACGTGCATGAACCTTTATACCCGATAAAGTCCTCTTCATTAGTATTCAAGTGATTTTATATAAAGACACATGTGTCTTTATATAAAGACCACTCGAATACTATGAGGATGACTTCATCAGGAATGAAGTATGCATCCAAGTTTAGATGAAGACATAGAGCTTCATCAAGGTCATAGTCAACCCTAATGATCTTTGACTAACGTGCCTGTCTTTGCCTTGGCACGCAATATACAACGTGTGGGAGCTTCTATTCAATCTGGTTGCGCATGCCCGTGACGTCAAATCTCTATCGAAGTATAAAAATCCATGTTCGTGACGTGTATGGTGGCTCCAGTTGAACCAAAATCTATAAATTGTTCATGAGTGTTTTAAGCAGTTCAAAAAACTCGTAGATCGTGTTTTATCAGGTATAAAAGCACGAGGCTACGCCTCCTGCTTTTATACCTGATAAAACACTCCTACTCGTTTTTTAAACAGTACATAACAAAAAGAGTTGATATAACAAAAGAATACCCCCCAAAAATTCTAATGTTCAATTTATTTTAACTAACGTGGTGGAGGTAATGAAGACCAACAATAAAGGTCTATATTGCAAACATGCAGTTATCTAGAATGCCTGTGGAAGTGAGGTCCATGCTATCAAAGTGMTGTCATTTTGATTTGATAATAAAAGATATAAGAACACCTTACAGTATGACGTGCTTAACCGTGACCACACAACTTATTTTTTACTAGTACTTTTAAGCCAATAAGACAGCGATAATTTGTGCATTTGCACATGAACTCAGTCAGCGTGACTGCAATTATTTAAATCCTATTCTTTGCAACAAAAAACTTAAATAAATGGCTAGAAACCTGCCTGGATGGTACTTATTTTGGTCCCTTTGCTGGCTAACACTAGACACTTTCGTAAAAAGTCTTTTAATTGATGGAAACACTTGGCAGGAAAGGATTCAACGGCATTAGTAAAAAAAATAGTTGGGTGGCCATGGTTAGGTTACCCTGCGAGCAGAGGTTTTCTTTCTGACTCTCCGTGGAGCTGGCTGTAGCTCCTGCTCGCAGGGTATGGTTAGGTGCGTCACACTGTAAGTTTTGATGATATTAACCACTTTACCAGCGATGTTAAACCCTTCTTGGAAATATTAAGTTGCTTGTGCATTTTAGTAATGACAATATAGCATAGTTATCAAAGGTAGTTAGTGCCGATAATGTATAATTTTTTCTCATTAAATTTGAACATTAAGTCAGGCTCAAGCTAGTATATGTTCATTACATACTTGCAATGATATTCTGTGCACATTGCTAAGTTAATGATCAGCCATACACGCATTTAATAGGACAAGGYTGCATTAATGGCGTTTCCATGGCAACCATCTCCTACCTTTTACTCAAACTCTTCAGGATATGCACCAAGAACCACTGGGGGAGGGCGGGGAGCATTGATGGCTCCTGCAGCTGCTAGTGCCGCAGGTTCATCCACTGCCTCTATCAGCCCAGGGGTTCCGGTCTTCTGTTTGACACACTGGAAATCAACATGTCGGCTCTTGCTTTCCTCTTTCTCCCAGGACATTCTGACAAAGGGTCGTTGGACGTAGTTGTATATGACTGAAATATAAGGTAAAATGATTAGTATGGAAATTTTTAAAAATCAATTTTAGCATTCTTATATCTTCCATTATTGTTACTAACTTCTTTATAATGGGACAATTATGTGAAGAATGACATTCATAATTCTGATCATCATTTATCATCAACACCACCATCATCATCATGCATGACGTCATCATCACCATCACCATCATCATCATGCATCATGTCATCATCACCATCACTATCATCATCACATTCAAATCCACCACCACCACTATCATAATTACCATCATCATCATAATCATGAATTACCACCATCATCAGTTGACAACATCCCCCACCATCATGCATATCATCATGCACCACCATCAGCATCAGAACCATCATCAATCAACATTATCATCATCACCTATTATCATCCATCATCAACTTCAACATTGTTACCACAATCATCATCATGCATCATTATTATAATCATCATAATCACCATCACCAT